GCAGCACACTGATGGGCACGGCGACACCCGCTGTACACCGGGCACAGCCGCACTGTCCCCATGCATCCTTAGCGCTCTAGCCGTGCAGGCATCCGGTGTCCGTGGCTAGTCACACCGTGTCCCTGCACGCTTACACTGTACCTGTGCACTGTGGCATTGCCCCCTGCACGCCTGCATTGCATCCCGTGCAGTTACCGTGCACAGCAGGGCACGACACCGTTTCCGTGCACAAACTCATTGTACTTGGGCACAGTTACCCTGTCCCCGCGCATAACTACCCCTGTGCCCGTGCACAATTATCCTATGCCCGTGCAAGTTTGCATAGAGCCTGTGCACACTTGCATGGTGCCAGTGCACGCTTACATCGTGCCCATGCACACTTGCATGGTGTCGTGCACACTTGCATGGTGCCCATGCACGCTTGCATGGTACCGTGCACTGCTTGCATGGTGCCCATACACCCTTGCATGGTGCGCGTGCACACTTCCGCTCCCTCCCTCTTATCCCCCCGTGTCCGTGGGTGACCAGTGACGCCCATGCTCGTTCACACCATGCCGTGCATACTGAAACCACACCCGTGCACACTGACGCTGCACCCAATGCGCTTGCAAGCATGCACAGCCGCTCCGCACCGGTGCACACTTAGCGTTGCACGAGGCACCATCATCCTGTGTGATAGTGGCACCGTGTGTGTACCCACATAGCCCGTATCCGTGCACTGTCCCAGCGTGTCCAGGCACAGTCACCCTGTACCCGTGCACCTTTCGGTGGTACCCATGCTCGGTGGCCCCTTGTGTGGCCAGCCAGTCACACGCACCAGTACGCCGGACGGTCCCGCGTGGCAATGGGGCTGTGCGGGGCCCCAGTCCGGTGCCACCGGGCAGGCCCACGGAGGGGGCGTTGCATGGGTGCTGCATGGGCCGGCAGCGTGTCCAGGCACAGTCACCCTGTACCCGTGCACCTTTCGGTGGTACCCATGCTCGGTGGCCCCTTGTGTGGCCAGCCAGTCACACGCACCAGTACGCCGGACGGTCCCGCGTGGCAATGGGGCTGTGCGGGGCCCCAGTCCGGTGCCACCGGGCAGGCCCACGGAGGGGGCGTTGCATGGGTGCTGCATGGGCCGGGGGCTGCTGCCCGCCGCCGAGCACGGACGCGGTTTCAGCGGGGCCACGGTCTCCGCCGACACCGTCCGGGCCGAACCGGGGCCGGGCCGGGCTCCCACGCTGCCTCCGCCCTAGATTTCGTTTCTAGGGCACTGGCTTTGGGGCTGCATATGGGAGCGCGTCTGGGATCGGGTAGATGGCTCCTTCTTGGGGAAAGGCCGTTTGTCTGCGGGGAAGGGAGGAAGAGGAGGGTGGCCCTTCTCCTCTGGCCACCCCAGTGGCTTCCCAGTCCGGGGTGACTCGAGTCCGCCAGCAATGGGTTGGGAGTCGATGCGCCGAGCCCACGAACCCGAGACTTCACGGGATCGGCGAATTTGGTTACCGAAAAAAATAATAAAATTAAAATAAATATATTTTTAAATGCCTCCGCCCCGATTTCCCTGCCAACGATTTTGCCCTCCTGCAGCTCCGGTCGGAGCCCGGGTCCAGGTCGCCGAAGTAGAAAGTTCTCCCCGCCGCCCCGGGGAAAGGCGGCCCCGAGCCGCTCTGAGCCGAACCGAGCCTGTCCCGCCGAGCCGGGCGGTGCAGAGCTGTGCCAAGGCGCGCAGAGCTGTGCCAAGCCCGCCGTGCCAAGGCGAGCCTGGCCGCAGCGCTCCCACCCCCGGTTCTGCGCTGGTTTCAGCTCCCTCCAGCCGGGGGGACGGCTCCCGAGCCCCGCTCCCAGCACCGTCCTGCCCGACCTTCCTCCAGGATGTAAAGCAGGAATATATTTGTATATACATATGTATTTTTAATTTTTGTCCTTTTCCTCCCAGAGCGGCCTGGCACACGGGAGGGCCCCGGCGCCCGGGGCGCACAGCCCGGCTCGCTGGGCTCCGCTGCCGAGGGTTGTCGGGCTCCGAAGCCAGAGAGAGGCGGCTGGAAAATGCGCCTGCTCGAGCGGGGCTTCCCCAGGCTCATTTCTACTTCCTCGCATTAGAAATAAAAACAAAATCGCCATAGTCTGGGTGAGAACAATAGAAACCGCAATAACATTAACGAAACAAAACAAAAACAAAACAAATCAAAATGAAAAACGGCTGGAAGAGTAATTTAATATATAGGCATAGTAATAACAATAATTGTTATTATAATAAAGGACACAAGGCACACGCTTGCCGTGGCGCCCTGAGCGGTGCAGAGGGAGCGTGGATCTCCTCGCCTCGCCTCGGAAAGCGGCGCAGCGCCGGAGCCGCAGCTCGCACGCGGGTAGTTATTCCCCTTCCCCTGCTCTTCAGCGAAGTGTGCCCCGTCCCCAGCCAAAGCCGCGTTGCCGCTGCCCATAAAACCGTGTCGCGGGCGCGCTAAAGCCAAGAGCGGCAGCGGAGCGGAGCAGCGGGGTGAGTGCGCGGAACCTGCGCGATCGCTCCGCGCGCGGGGGACACGCCGGGGTTCGCCGGGGAAGGGACATTTCGTTCCGGCAGCGCCTGGGCAGCGGCCTCTCTGCCATTTCCTCCGGGTGGGAACCAGCCTGGGAGCCGATTCCACACGCAACGGCCGGGAATCATCTCCGCAGAGAGCGGGGAGGATTTGGGGCTTGCTTGGATTTTTTTTTAATTCTGTTTTTCGTTTTGAATCGTTCGCCTCTGGCACAAAATGAGCCTCTGCCCAGCCCAGAACGGCTTCTGAGAGACGGGCTGCCCGGCCCCGGCGGCTTCTGCGGCTCCGGCCTCGGCTCCAGCCCCGGCTTCAGCCCCGGCCTGGGCTTCGGCCCCGTCTCCAGCCCCAGCTCCGGCCCCGGGTCTAACACAGGCTCCAGACCTAGCCCAATCCCGGCACCTGCTTCAACCTCGGCCCTGGCTCCAATCCTGGCTCCAAGTCCGGCCCCAGCTCCAGACTCGGCCTCGGCTCCCGCCCCGGCCTCGGGAATCGGAAGCTGCCTCAGCCCCCCGCAATGCCGGGCTCAACCCTTCGCTGCGCAGGCAGCCTCACCGCGTCTCTTCTTTCCCCCTCTCCTTTCTGTTCTGTTTTGTTTTGTTTTTATTTTTCCCTCTGTCCTTAATCAATCATTATTCTCTCCATGCTGTTTTCCTCCCTCCCTGAAAGAAGGAGCCATGGGCTGCGGCCGAGAAGGAGGCTCGGTTCGGGGACCATCCTCACGAGGCACAGTGGAGGCCTCGAACCTCCC